CGATGCTCTATCCACTGAGCCAAACCGGTTAGAGCTGACACCTCATATTCTTAATAAATTTCCTGATTTCCCATCTTGACTGTCTGTCATGACAGTGCCATATACCTATCTGGGATAACTGTATGAGCATGTTAGGGTCATATAAAGCATGGAATCTTCAGTCATTCACTGTATGGTCAGGAGTTTAATAAAGTTCCACATTAAACATTATATTTATTTTTCAGTAGAAGTGACTAGGGCAGTGGTTCTCAACCTGTGGGTCACGACCCCTTTGGGGGTCGAACAACCCTTTCACAAGGGTTGCCTAAGACCATCGGAAAACATATATATAATTACATATTGTTTTTGTGATTAATCACTATGCTTTAATTATGTTCAATTTGTAACAATGAAATTGGGGGTCACCACAACATGAGGAACTGTATTAAAGGGTCGCGACATTAGGAAGGTTGAGAACCACTGGACTAGGGGCTTCAGAGAACAGTGTCTTTAGGTCAGAAAGAGAACTGCCTTCTCTATCCCAGCCTTGCCCCTTATTGCCGGCCTGAGGTCCCAGGACAATTTTGAGTTGGTGTGTTTGAGAACTCTTCTGAAGAGCATTGAATCAAGAGCTCAGGACATTTAAAAACTAATTCTTCAGTCCTGATGACTATGAACCTCACAGGACTGTGATTTCAAGCTTCATTGTTGATCGAAAGTTTAACCCCCTTGGGATGAATGTCCACATTCATTTAGCATCTGTTTTTGACTGACTGCAAGATAATGCGTTTTAATTTGGGTTGCAGATGGGCATTTGTTTCTGATTTCCATCTATTTCTAGATCATGTCTTCTGAATAACAATTCTTCTTCAAATTGCTTAGCAGATGTTGAGGTATTTTGGTTAAAAACAAGGCTGATGGAGTGCTGGCTGCGTAGGGCAAAGGGTGCATTTGGGGGTGTTAACCTTTAGCCTCCTTAGTGCCCTCTCACAGGAGGACACTGCCTGAGGCAGGTGCTAGGAGTGGAGCTAGGGAAAGATCATCTTATTGTCTTCAGGGAACCCCACTCCCCACCATTTCTCTTTTCTCAATGCTGGTAAAAGGTGTGCTTTCAAGGCTGCCCAGCCACACTTTGCTCCATCCCCCGCATGTTGAACCTTTGCACATTGACAGGTTTGTGGAAGTAGAGGCTAGTGCAGGGGTGGGCAAACTTTTTGACTCGAGGGCCACAATGGGTTCTTAAACTGGACCAGAGGGCCGGAACAAAAGCATGGATGGAATGTTTGTGTGAACTAATATAAATTCAAAGTAAACATCATTACATAAAAGGGTACGGTCTTTTTTTTTTTTTTAGTTTTATTCATTTCAAACGGGCCCGCGGGCCGTAGTTTGCCCACGGCTGGGCTAGTGAATAGCAGCGAGTGTCAGGGAAGATGCGCTTGGTTCAATTACCTGAATGGCACTAATGAAGCTCTTTACAAGGCCTGGGAGTCCCAGGCTACCTGTTCAATGTTTTGTGCTTTGTCAGACCTTGCAAGCAAGCCCCTTTGTCAGGGTGGGTCAGATGTCCTGGAGCTGGACCACACCTGAAGAATTCTTGTCCTCACTGGCTGGTGGGCAGGCCTCCTGAGAATGGTTTTAGTCCTATAGAATCAGGAGTAGCCAGATGATGCTGAGTTGATGTCATTACTGCAAACTTCTCTCTCTTCCTGAAAAACTAAGAATGTGGAGTTTAAGGGGGGAAAAAAGAATTTTTTTTAATAAACCTGGTTGAAGAGTTAAAAATAAATAAATAAATAAGTTGCTTAGCAGAGAAACTAAGAAGCCTGCATCCACTTTGAAATTATAATAGGCTTTAAAGTTTAGATCTATTTGGAGGATGTGGGGAGCGCCTACTCGGAAAAGTGAAGATGCTAGCTCTGTTGTAAGATGATCTGGAATGGCCTACTTGAAGTTCAGATATTTTAAAAGTTCAGTATCAACAAATCCATTCTTCAAGAATTAAGGATATTTTTAGTACTAGATATCCATTTCAGGGATTCTTTGTGCTAAATTTCCCTCTTGCCCTAAATAATGGATTTGATGGTTTGGGGTTTTCCTGGTACCAACCAATTTTAAAAGCCCGCCCACTGAGGAGCATTGACATCCTTTCAGTGTAAGTGCATTCTTATTGATCAAGTAATTTACTCTTGTTCCCCCATCTCCTTATGTCTCATTTGTTTCCCCTTAAAATGTTCCTGCTTGAAGTTCCTGGAACTGAATTCTCCAAAATGGGACATAATACTTGGAAACCTAGGAATTCCCGCTCTGCTCTGCAGTAGTGCGCTGTTATTTTGTTTTGCCACTAAGCCAGAAACCAAAATACCACCACCTACAATCTACACTCTAAACACCCAAGACCAACATTATTCACTGCTCACCATGTTCAGAGCCTCTTACAACACAGCACGGGGAGCAACAACTACCACTTGTTAGAACGGTTGTGCAGGGAGAGATGTTTACCATCCCAGCTCTAAGCTCATAATTAGTTTCCTAACAGTGGTTTGAGATCTGGCGTTAGCCCCGACGGGAAAATGACAGGTCACACCAGTGTTATCCTTATGGACCCCACCCTATGGCTCTCAGGGGGCAGCACCATCGGCTGGAAAAGGCCACCTGCCTCCACCCCTGCCCTTTGGGACTACAATTCCAATTGAATCATCTCCAATTGCTGACAAATTGAATTCCAAAATGTGTCTCTTCACTCACTTTATTTCATTGTGTTAAATAAGCATGTTCCTCCCTCACCTTCTATACACACTTAATATGTTAAATCCCAGTTACTAAAGTATCAAAACAATGTGACCTTGACTTGAATTTAGTGCCTTTCCGGGTCGCAAGATTTTCCTTCCTTGCAGATTTCATAGAATAAATGTCCTAATATATTCACACCACCAATGTTACCAACAGACCGGCACACAAGAATCACATTAGTCTGCTTGTTTGCATGTTACAGCCAATAGTGCAAGCACCTATTCCAACTGAATGAACTAGACTGCTGAGTAGAGGACCCCTGTGGAAACTGGAACACTTCTCTGGGACAGGTGGCAGAAGAGGGGAGCTCTGCAATCACTTCTCTGAGAATGAGTTACCCCAAAGAAGTTAGGGCTTTGACTAACTGTCACATGACCAGAGCATGATGGCAGGATTTCACATGATGGCAAGGCCACTGTAAGGAAACTCCTGGCAGAATCACAGACCTACTCTCCAGCCACTTCACAGCACCAGGGAATGCTGGCTCCTGGCTGCTGCCCAGTGACCAGGCCGGCAGGGTCCTCCAATGGTTGCCCGGAGGAGGGAACCCCAATCAGAGTGCACATGCTATTAGGAAGACGTCTCTTACTGACTATGTCACCCAGAGGGCTCTTCTGACTCTGGAAGTGGGAAGACTCACTTCGATTCTTTATTGCAATAATCTGAGTTCCCTATCAGTTTGGAGCAAATTAACTTCTTTTTTGTGGTCAGGTCTCAAAATGAACCCCCTCATCTGTTTCCCTGTGGTTGCAGTCCTGTTAGTTCCTCTACACCTTGTTGGTTTGATGCCAGCTCGCTTTGCACCAAACAATTGTACAGCAATGGGAACAAGAGCGACTATCAAAGCAAACAAATGCACGGAATTAAACAAAAAGTGTACTTCGCTGTTTTCTGGTCGTCTTTTCCTAAAGGTACTGGTTGTCTCCTGAGAGCCACCTTCACAAATCTCAGCATGTCAGAACTTGGGGAAAGGAGGACGTCACACGACTGGGTTTCCTGCAGCCAGGAAAAGCAACTGATGGCAAAGCCGGTCTCTGTGGCTCTTGCTGGACACATCACAGAAGGAAGAGAGCACCGCTGCTTTGTTATAGTCTCTTCTTGGTTATTCTGTCATAGCCTAGACAGGCGCTCTATTTCATCCCTCTGGTTTCCCTGCTGCCCACTTTATAGTCAGTAAGTGTTACTAGTTATCCTACTATCAAGTGAGCAGAGAGAGGGGAACGGTGAAAATGAGAGTGTGGCTTCTAAAAAACAATGTTGGTAAAAGACCCGAGAGTGGAGAGCTGGAACACCGTTTTGGACTGATTCTGAGCCAATCCTGACTCCCACTGGTGAGGGAAACTGAAAGCTAGCAACATGTACAAACACATACCACACAGAGCATTTATAGCCTTTATTTGGGAGCTTGCTTTGCCTGTAAACTCACAGCCGATAAGGCACATTGTTGCAAGATCATGGGGGATGAGGGAGAGAGGGTCCTGGTAAAGGACAAAGTGGGACAGCGCCCTGGTCCTCCCTCCCTCCCCGACTCCAGGAGCAAAGAGCCACAGGTTTCCAAGTCCAGGCGGCCTCCTCTTCGCCCCCACCCTTGTTATCAAGCTTCTTTTAAAGCAACACATCTTTAAAAATTAAGTTCTTCTGTTTTTGTTTTGTGTATTTTCTTTATCATACGAGTCCAAAAAACAATGCTTGGGAATTCATTCTCAAGAATTCATGTAGAACAGGTGGCCTAGATCAGGGGTCCTCAAACTTTTTAAACAGGGGGCCAGTTCACTGTCCCTCAGACCGTTGGAGGGCCGGACTATAGTTTTAAAAAAAACTATGAACAAATTCCTATGCACACTGCACATATCTTATTTTGAAGTAAAAAAACAAAACGGGAACAAACACAATATTTGTATTTGCATGTGGCCTGTGGGCCATAGTTTGAGGACCCCTGGCCTAGATTAAAGCCCTGGCAAGATTCTTGGCCAACCCAAATCCAAAACCCAGCAGACCATGCACAAGCGCACCAATCTGGTGAGAAATGAGGAGTTACTCCTGTTGGGTACAGGGTCCCAGAGCTGGTCAGTTTAGGAGCCAAGCTTCTTCTGTCCTTGGAAGAATGAAACCAGGGCTGTGCCAATGCAGTACTGCTGCGCTAGGAAGCAACGACAGCTGCAGACAATCCAAACACACACAAGAAACCCCAAACCAAGTTTTCCTCTTAGAATTAAAAGATAAAATATCATTATTCCTCAGTTATTCTTGGCAAATGACAAATTGAGAAACATTCAGAGGGCAATATCTGGGGGTACTGCACCCATTCTCCTAGCAGGAGGGAGAAGGGGTTCCCGCACAGAAAGCACAGATTAGAAAATGTACTGATGGTCATTTGGTTCAGGGGAGTCAAGGGCCCTGCGCTGTCCGGAGGGATGCGAGTTTCTCCAGCGCGCATCCATGGCATACAGAGTGTGCTCGATTCATATTTAATCATCTGTCTGCAACCAAGAGGAACCCTGACATACATGGCAACCTCGGGGTGTCTGAACACAAAGCGCATCGCAGAAGTCACTGTGCACTTGAACTGTACACAGATGTTCTAAGCAGCTTCTTTCCCTTGGCTTATGGAAGAGGTAGGTCATCGCAAAGAAGAACAGAAGGAACACCTGTCACTACAGCCTATCACTTTGCAAAAGAGGCACTCTGGACAAGGACAGTCGGCATCCTCTCCCAAGGCAGCTCTGGGCTTGGCAAGAGGCAAATAAATACAAGACTATCCTGAGCTCCCTGTTACTCGATAAAATATAACCAGGGTTTTCTGAGCAGCTATCCAGTTCACAGTGTCCTACTGAACCAGGGCTGCTTTGAGAACCTGAAGTAACTCACCTTCTACAGCACAGTGTCCTTCATGACGAGACACTGCACCCGGATGAATACTGTCCAAGCCACCCGTTGAGGGTAATTAAAAAACAAGGAGGGGCTGTAGAGGACCACACCCATGACACACAGAAGCAGTAGAGTCCAGGGACACACAACCAAAACAATCCAGATCACATGGCCTTTCTGCCGTTTAGATGATTGGCATTGCTTGTTTCGTTCAAATGCAGGTCTTTCTGACTGAACTTTTTTATGAGGGTTCCAGGAACTAAGGCCACCAGAGCGATGGCCAGCAGCTTCAAGACAGTTTCCCAGGAGAAAAGAGCATCCAGAGAGGTAAGGGTTGACAGGATGGAGCCTGTCTGCACACAGATGAAGTTGTAGGGGATCAAACCTGGAAGAAGAAAAGGAAAAAGAAGAACATTAACCGTTCAGAAATGTCACCACGAATTCACAGCTCTTAACTCCTAAACATATTACTCTTTCCCTTCTTTTCCACTTTCTCCCTCCTTTCTTCACTTCCCACATACACCTGCCTTATTTAACAAAAGGACTTGAGATGGTTTACAAAAACACATACACTACAATAAGATTAAACAGATGTTAACAGGAAAAACACAATGAGTGAAGAAAAAAATAAGGGAGTAGAGTTAGGACAAAAATGCATAAGGATCACCCACTTGCTAGAGGTGGGCCCCAAATTCGGTTCTGAGCAGCCAAGAGCCAAGTAAGGAGCAGCACCAGCATGATGAGACCTACAGTACACATAACATACAAACCACCGTGTTCTCTTCATGGTCTACACTGCTTCTAAGAGGTCATCAAGTTCATTGGACCCCAAAAGTCTGAGTGGCAGCTAGACAGGCTGGTGACAACAATCTCCTGGTGAAGTGAACAAAAACATATCCTAGGGCTCCAGCCCAGAGATTCTGGTTACCTGGGTCTAAGAGAGCATCAGGAACCTGCAGTTTAAAAGCCTCTCCACTCTGATTGGCTTGGGACCCCCTGATGATCCAGCCCTCTCCCACAGCTGATCATAGACCTCAAGATCACAGACCACTCAAGGTTGCACAGCTTGTCAGAGGGGAGACTGGAGCTCTGGTCTCCAGAGTCCTTCTGACCTTTGTGCCACCTGGGTAAGTACAGGCTGCTACCCGAGGCACTGAGGCACTTTGTCTGAAAGCTGATATGACCAGAATTAACTGTGGTTGATTTTGCTTCGTTTTAAGATCTCAATTTCTCTCAAGAATCCCCTATTAATAGCAGCTGCTCAACCACAGATTTGTTTTGTTTGACCTAGAAGCCCTGAGTATTCTTTCCATCCACACTCTAAAGAAGGTTTAAGCGAGGCAATCCTTGCCTTAGGCTTAAAGAAAATGGTTTATTTCCAGGAGAAAATAAGTCACTGACTTAATAGGGTGTTAGCACTTTCAAGTTCTGATAAAGGTGGTCCACGGCCTACACATTGAGAAACACTGCTCTCGCCCCTCATCTGGCCACGGGGCCCACGGAGGCGAAGCAGCTTGCTGAAGGTCACACAACTGTCGGGAGGCAGGAAGGAACTCCAGTGGTACCTGCTCTTCCTAAGGCACATCTTAATTAAACAGGGGCCAAAGCCAGACAGGAAGTCCGCTGCTCTTGTTCTTTTTTTCTGCCCACATACCTTCCTTCCAACCCTGCTTCTCCTGCTAGTATTTCCTGAGCACCTAGCATGGGCCAAGTCATGTGCTTTATACATTATCCTCTAACCCAATGTCTTGCACAGAGCTTGGCACACCATAGGCACTAAATACAGTTGTAGGATGAACACTCCAATTTTTTTCTGAAAGTCTTTTTCTGAGGTTTCTTGTTCAAGCCTGAGTAGATTTGAAATCAGGATTTTAGTAAACACCTGAAGATGCTCTTCATGGGCCTCACATGCAGATGCAGGCACAACTCTGAAGACTCACTCACTCCAAAAGCTTCTTACCAATAAGCACAGAGAAGAAGAACTGCCCGATGGGGATGTTCAGAATCGGGGACGAGAGGTTCAAGAACCAGTTTGGTGTCATGGGGAAAAGTCTCAAAAACAGTAAGAAAAAAAACAAGCTGTTTCTGTTCTCCTCCACCTGTAGCCAAAGAAGACAAGGCCATTAGGAAGCAGAAAGCATTTCCAGATGCTGAAAATCTGTTGGTGCCAGGCACTGTTCTAGACACTTTATATATTCTGTCCCCAAACCTCCCAACAACCCCCCGGGTAGAGACTGTTTTCCTTGTTTTTAAAACAGAGGTACCTGAGGCTCAGAGAAGTCAGGAATTTGCCTCAAGTCCCAGAGCTGCTAATGATGGAGCTGGGGTTTGATCCCAGGTCCGTGCCTCTTGGAGACACCAAAAGAACCCCTAGGACTCCCGGAAGCAGGCGGAGGAACACGGTGGGAAATCCCTGCCCCTCACCCCCGCCCCCAGGTCCCTGAGGTGACTATGGGAGCCCAGCACTCAGACGTACCCCTGCCCCTTACCTTGCTCTGCAGCAGGGCCACTTTATCAGGAAAGTAGGAGACCACCAGTTGTTTGCCAAACATACTGGAAAGCAGGTAGCAGCACGTGGCACCCACTGAAGTTAACACACAGCACAGCAGAAGCCCCAGCCATGGCCCAAACAAAGCACCGGCTAAAACGTTCTGCAAAGAAAACAAATCCTCAGCCACCAGCACATCTGGCAGCTACCAGTCCTGGAGGTCGAGTCGTGAGTTCCCTCCACTCTTCTGGCGCAAACCCAACTCCCATTTTAAAGAAGTGAGTGAAAAGTGATGAAAGAGCTGAGAACTACAACCCTGGCTTTGTGCTCTTCACCTTTAAACCAGGGATGAGGATTAAGACCTCAGAGGGCAGGAAGAATTAAAGGACAAAACAGGAGTATACAGCACCCAGCCCGCAGTGTACATCCTACAAACACGGATGCTCCGAGAAGGCAGAACTGAAACTCACAAGTTATTTTTACCCCTTTATATGAACACAAATAATGGATTTTTTCCTCAGTAAGACCACACAAGCTATATAAGATGTCTTGTTTCTATGTGGTATGCTAATACTTGGCGGGAGGGGGGGTGAGGGTGAGGGCGGTTCATGTTGACCAGAGATCTAGGTGACACTCAAAAAAGTCTTAGATTAACAAAAATGATAAAGTGAGCTGATAATTCCTAAATGTAATTTGGCTGGTTAACATCATCCTGCCAAATGTGGGATACAAGACAGAAAGTAAAAGGGGCCTGGCTGGCATGGCTCAGTGATTGAGCGTCAACCTATGAACCAGGAGGTCAGGGTTCTATTCTCAATCAGGGCACATGCCCAGGTGGCTCAATCTCCAGTAGGGGGCATGCAAGAGGCAGCCAATTGACGATTCTCTCGTCATTGATGTTTCTATCTCTCTCCCTCTCCCTTCCTCTCTGAAATCAATAAAAATATATATTTTTTAAAAAGTAAAAGGGGAATGTGGAAGTGAGGAGGTGAGGGTCTACTGAGCACGTACATGTGTTATGCTTGATTACATGTCTTATTTAATCCTCACTATGACCCTGTGTCATATGCTATCCTTACCCCATTCTATGGGTGAGAGATTAAGTATCGTGCCCAAGATCACACTAGGCACAGACGAGATCCAGGTGGCAGCTGGCTCTTTGCCCTAATGAGGGATCAGCTCAAGTGGCAAGGCAGGTACCCAAACTCCACACACCTCCCCCGCCTCTCTTGGCATGGACACATTTGTTTTTCTTCCAGTTTCCAACGAAGAAATTGCTTAAGCAGACCCAGCCTAAGCCTGTAGTAGCGAAAAGAGGCTGGGGCAGGAGAGAGAGAAGCAGGCTATCCTGCTCCATCATTCAATCATTCAACAAGTGCTTGAGTGCCACTGCGTGCCAGGCCCCATCACCATGCCAGCCACTCTACACCTACTCTTCCCACGCAACAACCCTAGGGGTTACATAGAAGTATCCTGTTTTATAGACAAGGAAACAGGGCGGGGAGGTTAAATGGCTTGCCCAAGGTTGCATAGCTGGGATTCAAACCAACCCCATGCCTATAGATATAAAATGCTGCTGGGAGGAGAGCACAGAGTCTTCTGTATAAACTGAGATGGCAACTGATGAGAAGCATCCAATAGCCGGAGAACGAGCTCGGGTCTAAGACTGTGGCTGGAAAATCAGAATGACTTGTTCTCTCCACATCAGAGAAACTTCCCGATCCTCCATAGCCTAACATCACCACAAACAATTTGCATTTGTTAATTAAACACTTACGAAGACACCTCCCTATGTCAGGCAACGGAATACAAGTTCTGAGAATAAGAAACAGGTCCTATCCTCAAGGAACTCAGGAACTCACAGACAAAAAACAGATGGGGGGTGGGGGGGAGTGGCCTCAATCAGAAGGACTTGGGCCCCCCGAAAACAGATTGTTTTTTGAAAAGTCAAAAGCAGTGCCAAAATGCAGAACATCCTGGGGGCTGTGAGGAGGAAGAGTTGACCCAGCCCAGGGTACATCTGTATGTCTCCCAAGGACAGTGCGCCATGGCTCTTGATGCCTCCGAAACAAAGGCAGCAAACCTGAGAGGAAAGGCAGGTCCTGGAGCTGAGCAGAAGCAGGTGCAGCTCCCAGCCCTACCCGCTCCTCGCCTTGTCCCCTTGGACAGTAACTTAACTTCTCCCCACACGATGAGGCTGTTGGGAGCATTAAATAAGGTCATGCAGGTAAAACAACTAGGACAGTGCCTGCCACAGGAGAAGCTGTCCAAACAGGGTAGTCACGGTAGTCTGTCCTCTGAACTGTGTGATTTGCAGCCTAAGGACCCCCCTACAGAGACAGAAGGAGGCTTCCTGACAGGCACAGAAGGAGGACAGGGCACTGACCAGGAAGCTGGAGCCGGGGATGGCAAAGCACTGTTTGTAGAGGTAGGCACTGCAGAAGAGCAGGAACACGTAGGCCTGGTGCTCCCTCCGGTAGTCTCGAAGGACCTCGGAGAGCTCCCGCAGCTCAGCCAAGTCGGAGGGGAACCACAGGGACCTGGGGAATTGGAAAAGCAGATGGAAACGTGAGTCCAGATCAGCCCAGTACCTATGAAAGTTACTCATGGTGTCGTCTTATAAATGTGCTCATCTTCTGGTCTGCTGAGAATATACACGTGCTGGGAGCTCCAGATGGTGGGTGACCTGATACAACACAGCAGAGCAGACAGAAGAGCTCTGGTGTGGAAGCAAGGGAGATGGGTTACAGCCGTGGGCAAACTACGGCCCGTTTGAAATGAATAAAACTAAAAAAAAAAAAAGACCGTACCCTTTTATGTAATGATGTTTACTTTGAATTTATATTAGTTCACACAAACACTCCATCCATGCTTTTGTTCCGGCCCTCCGGTCCAGTTTAAGAACCCATTGTGGCCCTGGAGTCAAAAAGTTTGCCCACACCTGGTTAGCACCTGAACTCTGCTGCTGTCCAGCTGTGTGATCTTGGGCTAGTCCCTGGGCTGTTTCCTTATCTGAAAAGGAGGCTCAGTGTTGGATAATCACTAAGTTCCCTTTCACTTCTCAGGTTTTACCGTCTATTCTTAAGAAGCAAATGGATAAATTTCCAGGCAAAGACTAAACGTCCTAAAATGCCTTCCTTTCAAGGAGCACCCCCTCCCCCACAAACTTTAGGCCAAGGACAAGTCAATCTTCCTACTGCTCCTGAGTTACTAGTTAAAAGGACTGTTTTATCAGACAGTAACACGCCAACTAAAGATTCCCTGGGAACGTCTATTTGTCCTGCACCATAAACATAACCTTCTTGATGATATGTCAGCCTGGAAACCAATCCTTTCAAAGAGCCTGCCTTTTCACCCCAATCTTTATCTGGTCCTGGGTGCACTCTGAGTCCTGTACAAGGGTTACAGAGTAAAGGCTACTTTGCGGCTGCCACCTGAGCAACCCTTGAATCCATCCATGATCAATTATTAGCAAACCCTCCTCGTCCTCCGAAAAATGTTTCTCTTAGCACATCTGACACCCACAGCAAAGCCCTCTCAGCCAGAGCAAAAGGGTGCAGTAACTGAAAACAACTGTCCTAATATTCGAATATCAGGAACATCCTACACGCAAAGACTGTGCCAGGCGTACGCCCATGAAATTTACAAACAGCAGCTCTTCCCGCAAACCAGCCCGGCCGGTATCACACCGCCTCCTGCCTCGTCCAGGCGGCAATGAGACACGGAAAGGTAGAGACAGTCAGGCAGGGGGCGGACCCGATCATCAATCCCTGAATAACTTAAAGTCCACGTTTCGGCTGAAGGCCGAATGCCTTCCAGTCCCCAGGGTGGACCTAAGTGAGGTGGGAGGCTGAGAGCAGTCGTGAAGGGGCTGCGGGTGCAAACGGGTGAGGGTCGGCTGCGCACGGGGGTGAGGGCTGAGCCTGGGAACGCGGTG